TCACTGCCGTTAAGGGTGATCGCGCTCTAAAAGCTGCGTTACCTACGCTTCCTCTCGCTCTTCGCCTGTGCCGCTGTCAGCCCGCAGAGGAGGTTCTCCCGCCCTCTGCCGCTGCTGTGCTGCCCGCAGGCGTCACCGCGCTGCGCCGACAGCTCTCAGCTCCGGTCGTTGTACCGGGGCGCGCCTTTCACCTCGCAGCAGCAGCACCTTCTGAGCGACTCTGCTCCTTTTTTTTTTTTTTTTTTTTTCCCCCTCAACAACGCTACCAAGCCGGCCTCCACCTCATCTTTTCACCTTTTTTCTCTCCCTCCCGGCCCGGGCCGGCCCCTTCCCCACGGGGCGAGGCGCACCCGGCGCCCCTCAGCACCGCTTTCCTTCCCCAGCCCCCGCCGGGGACCGCCGCTCCGCTTCCTTCCTCCCCGCCCGCCCTCCCTCCCGCTCTCCCGGCGGCGCAGCGGCTGTGGCGCAGTCTCGCGACACTTCCCGCAGCGCCACGCTGAGCTGAGCGGAGCTGCTCGCTCCGACAGCGGCAGCAGCAGCAGCAGCGCCGGCGTTGGGAAGCGCTGCTCCGCGCCCCGGCCCGCGGGGAAGACGCCCATCGGCGCGGCTCGGCGGCAGCCGTCTCCCGGTGCCCGGGCTCGGCCGCGCTCCGCCCGGCAGCGGGGACTGCTGGGGGGAGCTGAAGGCTGAGCCCTCGCCTCGTTTTATTTTTTCCTTTCTGCATCCACGCGCACACGTATGCCGAGGCGAGGCGAGGTGCCTCCCGCAGGACGCGGCGTGCAGCCCGGCCGCTGACCGAGTGCGGCGGCCGCAGGAGGAGGGAGCAGTCCCGTCAGCAGCCTCGGGCACAGCCGCCCCAAACTTTCAGCCCGCGCCCCGGCAGAGCCTCGCTCGACATCGATGGGTGAGTCGGAGCCGAGGGGCGGCGGGGAGGGAGCGTCCGCCTCGCGGCTGTTAACTTCTCCCCCTCCCCCGGCTCCCCGCCGATTGCTTTCATGTGACAGCCGGAGGCGCTCGGGGCTGCCGCGGTGGGCGATCCCGCCTGGAGCTGAGGAGGCTGCGAGCCGTCCAGCGCCCTCAGCCTTCCGCCGGGCACACCCACCGCGGGCTCCGTCGGCTGAGCGGCTGCGGGCGGCGGGGCCGTCGGGCGGGCGCTGCCCGTGAGGTGGCTCCCGCGGACTTCGGGAAGAGACGGCGCCGGCCCGAGGTGGGCAGCGCCCGCTACCTGTGCGGAGGGGAAGGAGGCAGGCGGTGGGGGTCGGGGGGTGAATGGCGGCCCCGCCGACGGTGCCGGGTTCCCGGGGCCGGCCCGCTGCTCGAAACGGCGCCCGGCTGAGAGCGATGGATTGGAGGGAACAAAAGCAAGCCCGGGCTGCTGGCAGGGTGCACCCTCCGACCGGCTCCTGCCCGGGGGTGCCCCCGGAGAGCGGCTCCCGGTGCCCGCTGAGCCAAAAATGCTGCCGGCATCCCGAGAGCGATACTGCTAAAGCCATTCCCTGCAACGCATTAGGTGGGCAGACATTTTACCCAGTTTTACCTGTTGTCATGCGGTGACACTGGGAACGTAGCGGGGAAAAATCTTCTCTTTGTTCTTAGGGAGTGCTGTCGGAGCGATGCGTAGCTGCCGTACCTGTACCTTGAGAAATTCAGCACTAGCTTTTCGCTGTGGACTTTCAGTTAGTCCTCCAGCTGGGGCTGGGAGGCGTTCAGCCATCTGTGCCTCATTCCGCTGTATTGATCCCAACGAACTCCGGTGCTGCTGGCCGTAGGCCGGCATCCCGTGCCGCCGCCTGTAATTGGGTGGCAGAAGGCTCTGTTAGGGTTGGTGTGTCTGCTAGGCAACGCGGCTCGGAACTTCTTAAAATGCAGTGCTGTAAGCAAGCGTGGGGTTGATCACTGAGGGATGGAGCAAAATCTGTGTGGTGTAGTGCAAGAAATGATGGTTAGTGGTTTGTTTGTTTTAGTTATTTATTATTATTATTTCTTATCCTCAGGGCATTTTTTTCATTCTTAACTTTGCATTGTGACGCTATAAGACCTCCCATGATTGTATACATCTGGCATCCTTAAAGCTGATTTTGATAATGACTTTCCGAACTCGCTGTGATTCACAGAATGGCCCAGGTTGGAAGAGACCTCAAGGATCATGAAGCTCCAACCCCCCGACCGCAGGCAGGGCCACCAACCTCCACATTTAGTACTAGACCAGGCTGCCCAGGGCCCCGTCCAACCTGGCCTTGAACACCTCCAGGGACGGGGCATCCACAACCCCTTCAGCAAGAACTCGCTTTGCAAAACGAGAGCAGAGAAAAGGCACGCTCTCATTGTTCATATCTTTAGAGTCATTCACATCTCTAGAGTCTAAGCGATTCTTATGCTATTAAAAAAAAAACAAATGGAAAAAACACGCGAGGAAGATATGAGTAATATGAAAGTGAAATTTTTCTAGGAGATTCCAAATGGAAACAGTTTTATTAAAAACATTTTTAGCGTTGTTTCATTTCTCAAAGACATTTAGATGCATGAAAGAATAGTGGATTCTTCATAGGTAGCACATTGTTGAGATTCCTCGTCTTTTATTTTTAAATTACTTTCATGCTTTGTATTTCGTGTTTGGCACTGCACAGCGTTGTTACTACCTGGCTCTGTGTACAGACTGCAAGACGAGAGGCTGGGGAGCAGCACTGCAGAAAGGGATCTGGGGGTTCTGGCTGGTGACAAGTTGAATCTGAGCCAGCAGTGTGCCCTGGCAGCCAATGGGGCCAACAGGGCCCAGGGATGCACCAGGCCCAGCACTATCGCTTGGGAGGGGTTGTCCTGCTCTGCTCTGTGCTGTGTAGACTCACCTCCAGCACTGAGTGTGGGTTTGGGTGCTACTATGAAAGAAGGACATAAACCTAGTAGGGAGTGTCTGAAGGAGGGTTACGAATGTATTAAAGTGTCTGGAGGGCACAGTGTATGAGAGGAGTGGCTGAGGCCCCCATGTTTGCTCAGCGCACAGCAGAGGAGCTGAGGGGAGGCCTGACGGCGGCTGCAGCTCCTCACAGGGAGCGGAGGGGCAGCGCTGAGCTCTGCTCTGTGTGACAGCGACAGGGCCCGAGGGAACGGCGTGGAGCTGCGTCAGGGGAGGGCGGCTGGGGGTCAGGGAAAGGGGCTGCACCACAGGGCGCTGGGCACGGCCCTCAGTGCCAGAGTTCAATGATGCTCCATGATCCTTGTGGGTCCCTTCCAACTTGGGGCGTACTATGGTTCTGTGATTTGATGATTCCAAGGCTCCGTATATACGTGTCTATTACACGTGTGTATGTTAAAGTTCAGTGTATAACCTCAAGCTTTTTTACAGCATGTACTCAAAACCTTAGAAGAAATACGCGTTTATTGATGTTTTATGAGCTGTTCTGTGACATTAGAATTGCAATATCTTCAAGTAAATTCTTTTACATTTGGAATTGACTTGTCAGGAGAGCTGAGTGAATTGAAGTTGGTAGTTTCTGAAACATAAGAGGGGGGCAGGGCAGAGACAGTGCAACATGCTTAATCCCCTTCTGTAAATATTTGAGAATTGAAAAGGTGGTGTTTCATAGGTATGTGTGTGGGGGTTTGGTGTTTATTTTTAAGGCTTGTGTGTGGTTATGGAACTCCTCAGTCTCATTTGCGAGACCTTTGTGTGCTCATATATCACATTGCCCTGCTGAATGAAGTTGAAGGTCCAGCAGACAAAGTAGGAACAAGGTACGGTAGCTGCATGGGGAAGAGCTGCTTATTTAATTCAGAACATGTAAAGGTACAGCATGATTACAGAAAGCAGTGTTTAGCTGGCATCATCCCAAAACAGCTGAAGTTTTGCAGCGCCTTGTGTCGGTTGAGGCACACCTTCCAACCTCTGCAGTAAGTGAACAGGGATCCTTGTTTTGGCTATGCTGGATCCGCTCATCTTTCAGTCATTTTCATGTGTTAGTTAGGGGTCCTATGTAACAGTAGAGCTATGGGAGTAAGCTGAAGCCTTCACCATAGTGCTTGTGTAAATTCATGCTTATAGATAGACAGTTTCATCACCAAACTTCTGAATGGTTCGCTTAGTAGCTTGTTTGATGTATATATTTTTTTGTAGATTTGCTTCTCTTAATAGTTTTTCAAGGTATTTTTAAAACTTTCCCATTGACAGCAGGAAAGAGAGGATAGGCTGCTTTTGCTTGTCTGTAGTCCCCATAGTTAGAGCTTTGTGTCCTTTGAGCCAGTTACGTTATTAGTACTCACAGACAACCGTTGTCTGCGTGGATTGACACAGCGGTTGAGAAAGATGCTGTGAAATACCGCAACTGCCTTGTACGCAACAGGGGAAAGTTGCATCAAGAGGAAATAGAAGAAAAAAAAAAAACAGCACTGATTTTTCTATACTAATTGCAACACCTTTTCCAGTTTTAACTTTTTCCTAATTCTTTTTTTCTCCTGTCCTAATTCTCCTTTGTCTCCTGCCTTCAAGTCTGCTCCTCTTTCCTCCTGAAAGCCCCTGCCTTGATATGTCTTTCCCCTCTACTTCTTTCCACATTGCACGTGTGCCACTTCCTCTTCCTCCCTCTCTTAGCCAAGCATCAATAGAGGGAGCACTCTGAGCACATTTCCTGCTTGTGGGGCCATGCAGACATGGGGCCATGCAGGAACATGCAGAGATGTTCCTGCGTCAAAACTTATGCTTAGTCCCACAGTACGTGTTGGAGGATGCTCTCTGCAAGGGGAAGCATGGGGAGTTCAGCTGGTGAACATCAACGGCTCTACAGTCCTGTGTTGAATGAAACATTTTTGAGTTGAGCTTAGTGAAATAGTGTAAATTGCACACAGAGGAAGGTGGGTGTGTCTGTGGTTGTTGACTTCTTGGACAAATTTGAAGTTCCCCCTACAAGGCATTGGGAATTTTGGAGCCTTTGAGCAAAACAGCTGTAAGACATTTTCTAAATAGGAATGACACGTGTCATTCAGCAACATTATCCTCAAAAACTGTTGTACAGTTTCAGCTGGATACAAGGGAGAGTCATATGGGAGTTGGTTACCATGCTTTTCTTCACTTTGAGTGTTTTTTTTTAATTTAATTTGTTTTAATGAGATTATAAGCAGCTATAAAGTGGCTCACACAGGAAATCTCATGTGAAAACCTTTCTCAAAGTGTAAAAAGATCTCATTTCTCCTCCTCAGAGGAGATGTGAATCATCTTAGTTCTTTTGTTGTCAGTAGGTTCATTTCTGACAACACTTGTGTTAGAGGTGGTCAAGATCAGATTTCCAGTTGTTTGGTATCCATATTTGTACAGCCTGTGAATGTCTTTGAAGTCAGAGTTCGAGTGGAGTTTTCATAAACTGATGAATGATTTTGGTAACCTGTATGAATTTTCATACAAAAGCGGCTGGCAGAAAGCTTTTTTCTTAGAAACCAAGAGATAATGGCTTTACATCAGAACTTTGTCAGAGCTGCCTTCTGCATGGGTCAAGACATGGATGTGAAACCAAGGAATAAAAAATCCGTATTTATGTGTGCGTATTCAGAATTCTGATTTTATAGTCTTCTTTTAGTGCTCTTCTTGCCCCTATCAAGTAGTTCATTTCTTGCAATGTCCGCTGTAATTGTTGCCCATATTAGCTGTTGCTTTTAGATCAGAGGGTGTGATAGAGAAGAGAATGCTTGAAGTAGATACCATTTCTCGAAACAGGAGATTCTTGTTCCCCTCTGTGATAGCAAAAGATGCATACGTTGAGAGTTATGCTAGAGCTGCATCTGAAAGACATCTTTCCTGGTCTGCTCATAAAGAAATGTGTATCAACATCACAGCACTTCCTTGACAAGCAACATTATTTTGGTATTAATGCTGAGTGTATATGTATTTCTGTTTAAACTGCTATTAATACAACATAA